CGGTCAACGGCGGTCAAATGGTGGTCCACGATGCTGGCAACCTCTGATGACGATGGGTCTTGCGGCGTTGGGTAGATCGGCTTCTTCTGAGTCCGTTGATGTACTTTTTGATCAAAACGGGCGCCGGAAAAAATTTTCGGTGGAGGATGGTGGTGGCAGACGATGGCCAGAAACTGACGATGGTGATAGTTTCCGGGAAGATTTTTACTCGGTAGACAGTGGGTCTACCAGAAAGATGCGGATCTTGTTAGGCTCTAGATACCATGTTGAATATCAAGAACAAGAAGGTTTATAAGTAATATGTGTGTCTTAACTACACAGTAGAGAGTCTATTATATAACTCAAAAGAAAGAAAATACAAAGAGATATACATGATGTGAGACTTCTATACTACTATTCTAAACTATTATTTACAACAAACGCCATAAGAAAGGGGCATTAAGGTCAATCACATAGTTGATAGTGATGCTAGGGAGAGAAGTGTTGGTGTCTTTAGTAATGGGTGCTAGCAATGAAATTTTGTAAGGTTGACGAGCCAAAACAGTGAAGGAAATGAAGGCCAAGGAGAGAAGGAACATTCGCGGATGATGCATTTTAATGCAGTTGATGTACTTGGTAGGTATGATATGGATGAGAATGATCACGTCTGAAAATTCAATGGAAGATTTATAGGCTAAAAGTTTTTTACTTTAGACAATGACTAAGAATCTTTGATACAAAATGCATACTGGTGGCTGGATTTAATTTCCCTGTGCCCCATTACTGTGCGAAGGCAAAGCCAAGTTTTTTATATTGACACAAAAGAGGGATTAGATTGTGTGCAATCAGGATTCTTTTCCACTCTTTTTTTTAAAAAAAAAAATCTATCTTAGCATGTGAGTTGGGATATGTGTATAATACTGACACTGGTGCCTATGTTTGCACATGCAGACACAAAACTTTGAGAATTTTTTTTTTTAAAGGGGTGGGTGATTTAGGTAAGTTAAAAAAAAAGATTTAGGAAGATTGAAAAAAAAAAAGAAGTAAACATAGACCCAATCATAGTAGTTAAAATTGGGATCTTACCTAAAATTAGAAGGAGGATAAAAAAACATAAAATCGTAAAAGTGTTTGGAATTTTGATGAAATCCTTTTTATTAAAAAAAATCGTAAAATCATAAAATCACAGATTTAAATCGGGATTTTAACTAACATAAGCCCAACCCAACCAATTCCTATAATTAAAAGTTTAAAGCTTAAACCCTACCTCATTGTTTTGTCTCTTCTTCTTTTTTTGAAGAATAAACCTTATTAGCTCCAAACCTTAATAGACATCGGTGATTCCTGAAATTCAATCTTTATCAAGTGGAGGAGAATTGTACGAAATTTTTCACGTTTTTTTATGAAGCAAAAGTGGCCAACTTTGGATCAAATAGACATCAACAGAAGTGGATTTTTGATCATTATTTTTTGTATGTTAAGTTAAAGTTTTCTTTTCTTGTTTATATATTTTTTAATACATTTAAAATTTTCTTTAAAAAAAATCTTCGGGGGTGCTGCCCCCAAACCCCCGCCCTAAATGTGTAGACATAAAATAAAAATTCTGGGTCCACCACTGTGTATAACCACGTGAAAATGATTATATGTGTGTAATTTAAAATTTAATGTTCATGATCATCGAGATCAATGTTGTCAAACTCGAGTTTCTACGTAGAAACGGAAAGGGGTGGTAGAAACGTAAAATGTAGAAACGATACGAAACGTAAAGTTTCTACTTCTATTACTTAAGGTCAAGATACAAAATTATATATATATATATATATATATGCATGTAAAAAAAATATTACATAATGAACATGTGTGTTGAGTCACTTATCTATCTTAAAAGAAAAATTATTTTTCATAATCAAGTATCAAAATTATAAACAGTGATAATTAACAAGTAATGGGAAATCAATCTGCTCTAACTGCTTTATACACTCTGTCGATTTTGGATCATCGCTCATCAGGATATAATTCCACTTCTTTCAATGCACACAATGATCCAAAAACACAAAACGATTCTCATAGCATAACTTATAATAGAATTGCAGCTTTATAAGACATAATTATAAAAAACATATCTCCAAACAAAAAGATAATAAGATATTGTGAATATGATTTGGGGAAAACGAAAATTAGTTTTTTTTTTTAGTTTTTTTTTGTAAATTCTTTTTTTATTATTAAATTTTTAGTTTTAATTAAAAACGGTAAAAACGGTAAAAACGTAAGTTTTTACCGTTTTTACGTTTTTACACGGCGTTTCTACCAGTTTTTACCAATTATAATTTTTACTTGAGTTTTAATACGCACCACTCTAGTAAAAACGTAAAAACATAAGTTTTTACATTTTTACACTAGTTTTTGACAACAATAATCTAGATAATATCACATTATTCAGTAGTTAAATTTGTTAAATTCATATTCTACAAAAGTTAATAAACAATATATGTATCACACAAAACACACAACGCGAAAACTATATATGCACACTATCATATGCTTGTATACAAGTTTATATATAGTTTTAGCGATAATGTATTAAATTATTATTACGATATATAGCTAGAATTAGTTTTCAACAATATTTCTAGCAAGTTAATTAATTATTAGTTTCAGTTAAGCAGCAATCTTCGTCAAACAATTATATGACTATTAAATGTGCCGGCAAAATATGAAAGTGAGATTAATGTAACCCCTTGTCTTCGTTATAAGAGTATTCCCACTTTAACAATGTTATAATGGAAAATAAACATATCTGAAAAGAAGACTTTGGCTTAATAAAAGCATTTATGTGCCTCTCAAACGGATTAATAATGCTTACGTTACATTATAATATTCTAATTAGTCAGACACTTAATGTGTAATTATTTGTTGAAGTGTAATAATCCCAGCTTCCAGCCTGGGGAGGGGTGACTGAGTTCTGAAATTTCAAACCTTTATGATGATGACTCAAAGCAATTTATACAACAGGATAGTGACAGTCCAAGCTTAAAGAGTCCCAGTCAAATAAATGACTTGTCAAACCAAGAAACAGCAAGAGAAAGGTCACTGGTCATGCAATAGAGAAGATTTGTTTGTGGGGCGGGACGGTGGTCCCTCCTAAAAATAGAAAAAAAGGAGAAACGGAAAGGGAAAAAAAAAAAAGAGAGTAGAAATAGAAAAAAAAATTCCATTTATAGAAAAGAGACCATTGAATAAATGGTGGTCATGTAGCATGTTAAATTCTTTCCATGCAATATATCATGCATTTACAATATTTTTCTATTTTTGTTATCTTCAATATCGTTATAGTTTGTTATTTTTGTAACAATCCACTAGGGGAATATCTAAAACTATTTTCATTTTTCTAAAAAATATTTTCAGTACTACCATCATATTGAATATTCGGTCCATTATTATAATATGGGGAAAGTGTGTGTCAATTAGATTGACACACACTATGTCATTTTAAGTCAAACGCTGTGTTTTACAATGAAAGTTTCTTACCTGCTCGCGTCCTCCACTCTTCTTCCCGCGCGTTCTCTATTCTTTCCTACTCCACACGTAAGTTATTCATCACCTTTTCCCACCATTCTCATCTCCATTCTGATCTCTGTTTTTCTTCAAGTTCCTTCTCTCCAAAACACCTGATTCAGATTCATCAAGAAAAGACATCAAGCATAGCAAAGGAAATACAAAAATGGAAGAAAAAAAAAATAGAGCCAACATAAAAAGGTGATGCCAAAATCCCATTTCATGAACACGTTACTGTTACAATTTATTTTATTTTTTAACTTGATTCACATTATACCTACAGGTGTTGTGCTCCTCAAAGTTTAGCTTTTTCTGATTTTTTTTATTTTTTTATTTTAGACCTTTGAAACACTTAAGGGAGGAAATGTCGGCTGCTACAAATATTTAGGTGTTTGAATTCCTTCAGGTTTGTTTTTTATCCCTGTATTGAAGTTAAGTTTATGTAATACACTTTTTTTATGTTGGATTTTCTTCCATTTCTGCTATACTAAGATATTTTGATGGGTTTAAAGTTTACAACTTTGGCAAGAGATTGTTTTTTATTTTCAGTTTTTCATAGACCATTTGACAGCATGCTTAATTTGGTATGAGTGTGTTTATTTCTCTCTCTTTTTTTGTTAAAAGTTTAAGCTGAAATGACTGGACTTTGTTAAATATATACATCTGTTAAACCATAACATGGTAGCCACAAAAACAAGATAATGCACATGAAGCTTTTCACAGAGCCTTTGACAACATGCTTATGAATTTTTGTTTTTTCGTATAATTGTTTTTATCAATGAACATTTGACAGCATGCTTACTTTTTTTTTTCTTAAGATTATAAAAAAAAATTCCAGTGAGAAACTAATTTTATTTGAATGTCAACCTTGTTGTAACATAAAGTTCAAGGAAATTCTTTTCTTTCTAAATGTCAAGTTAATTTCAATTGAGGGTGTTAAGTTTTTTTGGTTCTTGTCAATATAGGTTGTGAACAGCTATTGAAGACTTTGACATGAGTTCGTTATAATGGATCACTCTCAAATAACAGCTATTGAGGACATTGACATGAGTGAGAGCTTAATTTTTTATGATGACATTGTTGATTTAGAGAAAGACAATGCTGAGTTTGTTGATTTGGAGAAAGACAATGATGAGTTTGTTGACAATGATCAATGTGAAATTATGGAAGACGAAGATAGGGATCATGTGCAAGATAATGCATTTGAAATTGTAGGAGATGATAACAATGAATTCAGTGAGACTAATTTTTTATGTAGGGTCTTTGGAACCTCAGGAGAAGCTTATGATTTTTATAATAATTATGCAAAAGGTAAGGGGTTCGGAATACGTAAGTAGTTCTCTAACAAGAGTGCAAAAACACAAGAAATATATAGGTGGAGATATGTGTGTTCAAAAGAAGGCGTCAAGAGAATAAATGATAAAGCAGTTAAAAGACGAAGGGATACAAGGACCAATTGTTTAGCGATGTTACAGATAAAGTTGGTGGATGGAGTATGGAAAGTAGAGAAGTTCAATGATACACACAATCACCCATTAATTAACACTCCATCAAAGGTGAAGAAGTTTCCTTCTCAGAATGAATTACGACGCTCAAAAGTTGCTAAATCTCTTGTTTCTATGCTTTATGAGGAGGGTTTAACTTCTTCAAAGATCTCAAAGGTGGTGAACGCTATGGACAAAGAAGTTAACATTACTCCAGCTCAAATCACTAGTATTATATCAGTTCAGCGAAGGAATAATGTGGGGCGAGAATGTCAAGGCATCATCAAGCACTTTCAAAGGAAGTCTACTCTTGATGGATCTTTTTATTTTAATATACATTTGGCGGAAGATGGAACGTTAAGAAGTGTATTCTGGGCAGATGGTAGGTCGAGAGCTGCATATGCTCAATTTGGTGATCTCCTTGTGTTTGATGTGACTTATCAAACAAATAAGTTCAAGTTTCCTTTTGCCCCTTTTGTTGGGGTTAATCATCATGGGCAATCAATTTTATTTGCTGCCGCTTTGTTAGAAGATGAAACGGAGGCAACATTTACTTGGTTGTTTGAACAGTTTCAAGCATGTATGTTTGACAAGTCTCCTCCTGCTATTATCACTGATCAAGATAAAGCTATTGGAAAAGCAATTGCCAAGATATTTCCCACAGCACGACATCGTTTCTGTGCATGGCACATGAAAAAACATGTTATGGAACATACTCAAGCACTACGCGCACAATTTAAGGAGAGTTTTGATGTTGACTTTCGTGCGTGGTGTAAAAGTCCAAGCATTGATGAGTTTGAAGACAAATGGGAATCATTGAGGACTAAATATGATATCAAACCAGGTACTTGGTTGTCTAACATGTATGCTTCACGTCATCATTGGGCAAAGACATATTTGAAAGATACTTTTTGGGCCGGAATGACCACAAGTGGCCGAAGTGAGAGTATCAATGCATTTTTTGATGGATACGTCAACTCCAATACAATGTTAAATGACTTTGTTACCCAATATGACAAAGCAATCAAGTGTAGGAGGGATGCCGAAGAAGATGAGGAATTTAAAACTAGAAATACAAAAGCAATTTTGGAGACTTCTCACGAAATTGAAGCAATAGCTGGTGAGCGCTACACGAGAAAAATATTTAATATCTTTAAAAAGGAGTGGATGGAAGCTGTACTTGACTATGAGCATGAAAAGATGTCAACGGACGAAAATAAAATCAGGTACTATTAAGAGTATATGTTAAATTGACTTAATTGATGTAAAAGATTTAAAGTGACTTTCTCTTATCTTCCTTTTTTTTTAGGTACAAGGTGGGGTCTCACATAGTTGATAAAGAGTGGTGGGCAATTGTTGACATTCATTTGACAGAAACCTTCACAGCTAATTGTTCGTGCGCTAAATTTGAGACTATGGGAATTTTGTGTAAACATATTCTATACATCATGAAGAAGAAAAAAATAAGAACCCTTCCTGAAAAATATATTTTGTCTAGATGGACCATGAATGCAAGTTATAAGGTTGAAAATCTTGTAGGCGATCATGCTGAAACAACTACTAATGAAGTTAGTGCATTGTCCTTGTGGTCGATTCTCTCCAAGTGCAATATGGCTATTGATGAGTCAAGAGATTGTATTTATGAGATTAAAAGGTTTGATGCATTTGTTGTTGAATTTATTCAACAACAATTGGAAAGAAAAAGGAAGATAATTGAAGATGAAGCAATTCTCCAAATTGTTCCTTCTTTAACTCTTGAAATTGTATCGCAAGTTTCTCTCATTAATTATGTGCGTGATCCCATCCATCCAATCAAAACAAAAGGGCGTCCGAAGGTTGCTTCACGAATAAAATCAAGCCTTGAGTTGTCTTTAAAACAACAAAAGACTTGTAGTTATTGTGGAGGAAAGGGTCACAATAAAACCGGTTGTCAGAAGCATAAGGTATTTCTTTCTTAAGATTTTTTTTATAGCTATGTTTTCCTTCTTAAATTTGATAATTAGTTTATGATATTTCATTTGTAGATGGATGTTGTAGGGGAGAAGCAAAAGGAATAATATTTATTGAACATATTTTCACTGTGACATTTTGGTAAGCACTAATTTATTATGAACTATCTTTTGAGTTAAAAAGAAATGGATCTCATTTTTTTTTCTTTTTCCAGGTACAAAGATACATTTTGGTAAGCACTAATTTATTATGAACTATTTTTTGAATGTGAAAAAATAGCTAATGGTTTTCATTTATTGTGATTTTTCAGGTACAAAGATAACTATTTGTATTTGTTGGGTTATGTATATTTATTACATAATATTTTGGTATCTGGTAGTTAGGTTGTTGGATGGGTTCAATGTAATTGTAGGGGCTTTTTTTTGTGTACATAAATATCAATGTATTTTTTTGTATCTAGGATAGTTAATGATAAAGTCAATGTAACCTGCATATATCCTCTATTTTTTTGTGTACTTGTCCATTGTGGTTTACCATATTCTATTTCAATTGAGAATCTCAAGTTAAATGTAGCCTGTCATGAAGAAATTTTGTTGTCAGCATGTTTTTTCTGCAATAGCAATACCATCCAAGCTATCAATTGCTCAAAAAAATTGATCTATATACTTCAACATTCATCAATCTTGGTTGAAGGATCATTCAATCCCAAATACAAAACTAACATTGATATAATTAACTTATACATATCACGATTCTATAAGAATATATACAACTTCCTTTACAATTGTTGTTCATATAGTATTTCCCACCCCTTGTATTTCTTCAACAATATTCCTTTATTTGCAGTGCTTCAAGTTATCCAATTTGTTTTCCCTTCCTGTCCCATTATTTCTCTTATCAGCTTATTTCAGTTTTTGCTTGAACCGCTGCTTCCGGTTGGATGAATTTAGATCTTGATGTTTTGATTGTGAAGGAGGCGCTCCATGTAGCCCCAAATAGATGTTCTCTTCCTTCTTAGCCTACACAAACAAATACAGTAAGCATACACATTTTCCAACCAGTTCCATCATCTATCAAAATGCATGTTTGTCCCAAAAAAATTGACATCCCAGCTTAGGAAAATAGATAGTGCTAAGATGCAATAATTTGATATATTTACCTCATTGAAATCAATAGCGAACGAAAAGACATAAAGGATAGACTGCTTAGTATTACCCCAGTTTTTCTGTAAGTAGCTATAATTTCTTCAGGTGTTCTAAGTCTTGGTTTTATTTCATCATTAGTCCCACCTTGAAGTAACTTTTCCCTATCATGTATTTTTTTATCTGCAGGCAAAAGGAAGATACTGTCACTATCACTAATCTTTGCAGTTAAAATATGAAATTAAGTTTTGAAGGAGATTTACCTTTCTGTTTGTTTTTAACATCAAGAGATGAGGTAGAAGCCTCCCATTTCGGGCTCATCTATTTCAATGTCATCTGTACCAAATTAGAGCATGTTTTGAGGTTTTGTTTTTTACAGTACAAAGTGTGGTGCGCACTGATTGAAGCAAACTAATGGAATTGAAGAAAAGAAAAAAAAACGTTGAGACACATACATGATTACAAGTGTACCAAAGATGCCATTATCAACTTCTTAGAGCTTCTATAATAATTGATTGATAACAGATTATATCTAGAATTACTCCAAAATAGCACGGTAAAGCACCAAATTAAAAAAAAAAAAGGCTAAGATCATGATGAAACCCGAAATCCCAGAGTTTTCCAAATTCAAAAATCGGATCGAGTACAATACATAGGAGCACCTCTGACAAACAAAGTAACAGGACAAAACTAAACCCACCACAAAATTGACAAGATAACAATGCCACAGGGATCATCAACTTGACAAGTAATAACACAAGTGCAGAAATCAAAGTGGGTAATGGAGGTGGGGCGATGGTGCTGGTGCAAATTCTGACTCCCTCCTAACAGATGTAGGTGGGGCAATCAGAGGAGGGAATTCGTGTGGCCCTGCAGCATCATTTAAAATATATTTATAAGACATCTCAGAAATTACAACTTACTTAGTGTTGTCAATTTTATTTTATTTTTTCAGGGAGTTGGGAAGAGGGAAGCAGATTAAATTAGGAAATGCATCTAGAACTAATTACAGATTGCTATACTTCCGGCCATCAATTTAATCTGGATTATAATGCTAGGCATACCAAACCTAACTCTAGTTTGCGCAATTAGAGGCTATCATGAAGAACCGCAAAGCAAAAAAAAAAATGGAATTGAAGCAAAAATTATATACCCCATCGTCTTCTTCTTGTTCAATAGGAGGAGTGGTGCGCACTGAAGATGGGTCCATCGTAAACTGATGACCATGGATTTGAACGCAAGCCCGATGGGAAGATCGAACCAAAATTGATTCACCTACACCGATCTCGTGAAAGAATAAAAACTAAGGGAAAGCATGTGAAAGGGGATAGGAATAATGGAGGACATATTTGGCGTACACAACGGGTGGGAAGGAACTTGAAGATAAACAGAGATTAGAATGAAGATGAGAATGGTGGGGAAAGGTGATTTCAGTGAGAAAGGAGAATGAATAACTTAGATGTGGACTAGAGAAAAATAGAGAGGACGCACACAGAGCTGTGGAGAAATTTCATGGTAAAACGCAGCGTTTGACTTAAAATGACATTGTGTGTGTCAATCTAATTGACACACACTTTCCCCTTATAATATATGCATTTACTCTGTCCACCACTTTACAATTTATGTATGTCACGTATATCTCTTTGAAATAATGTCACATTACTTATTCTATTTGTAATAATGCAAAACCAAAGAAGTAATCTCTTTGAAAGAGGAACTCTGAAAATATAAATACATATACAAAGAAGTAATCTCTTATTTCATGATGGTAATTACTTGATTAAAGTAAAAGCAATGAATACAGTAAACTTGTTAACAAAAGACATAACCAAGTTACTAGAACATTAATATTTTCTCTTATGTCATATTTTCTTGTCTTTATCAGAGCTATCCCTCCAACAGTTGAATCAATTCTTCCATTGGATAAGGGTAGCTTCAATTTCCAGCAATAACCATTTCTGAAAATGGCAACAGCACAGAAACAATCTACCAAGCAAACCTGTCTGCACCAATCCACAGTCGCTGACTGAAAATGTTCAAAATCTGAATAAAGCCAATCCGTATTTTCCATCTCATAGAAATCAAAGAGATCAGTTTCTGGGAAAGATTCATTACAACTCTGAGAATCAAAGTCCTGCATGCATCCCTTCATCACATCACCTGGATCAATGAAGCTATAACCAGATGGACACTGGCAACTCTTGCCTCCATCAGGAGTACAATAGCTGTTGAACCCACAAGCTCCATTTCCTGCTCGTTCAGTAATACTCATACAGATGTTTGAAGGTATAAAGGACACAGATGACCAAGCCTTCTGCCATCCTCCTGTATTGGAGCTACTACTCTTGGGGTAGACATAGTGCCTGAAGACTCCATCATGTTCAAGGATTGCTCTCTGATAGAATTCTTGAGTAGAGGGAGCATGTGATGATATCATTTGAATTATGCTCCCATTATTTGCACCTAGGAAAATATACCCAGTATTGTTGAAGACCAATGAGAAGCCACTGCCAACATCCTTGGTATTCCAATAAAGATAATTTAGAGAATTCAATGGGAAATTTGTGGTGAAAAGCGCAAGAGTCCCATGAGTGTTTAGCACAAACTGGAATCTTCCACTTGAGTAATTTGTCTCAAGATATCTTGCAACAAGAGTACCAGGTTGGTTCAGAACCTGTCCTGGTAAAATTGTGTCAGTTGGTTGATTAAAACTCTGCCACAAATATTGAGAATTTTTGCCTGCAAGAACAAAGTTGCCAGTATCAAGCATTGCTGCATAAACAGTTCCACCACCTGAGGAACCAGCAGGCCATATCTTATTGCCACTGGGATCACTGAGCAAGAACCATCCATCTGAGGTAAGCTCAATTTTTGAACCCTTTGGTGCAAGGTTTTGTCCATTGGCTGACCAGACAATGGTTCTTTCTGGTATTTTGTTGAACCAAATGGATAGTAAGAACCCATTTTCCTCAATCTGTTGGAACCCAAATGCAAAGTCACCAGATGGTGATGCTGCCCATGAGGAGTTATCTGCTTGTGCAGTGAAGGAAGTCCCCAAGGAAATGTTCCCATAAGTTTGAGCAACAGTAGAAAACGGAAGTAACGCTAGGAAGAAAAACAGCAAGAGATGATATTGATGATCAAGAGCCATTACGTGAATGGATGAAATTTCTTCTTGTTATGAAACATAAATGGCAACTGATTCTTAATTCTAAGCATCAGTTATTACCATATATTTATGTATTATGTCCATAACAAGAGGAAAATGTGGAATAACGCGTTGCTTAAAGCCAGATAGATTTAATAAATGATAATAGTTTACTTGGTGCATGAATCAGAGCAAGTAGGGTGAGTGTTGGAAATTTAATGAAAAATAAAACTAATAAAAAAAAACCAAGACTGCATTAATATTATAAAAAAAAATTCACACAACCACTCTTCACTTTTTCTCTTTAAAAGTGCAAAGGCACTTCTTCTTTTAAGCAATTCTAATTTTTATTCATATTACAAACATATGTTATAATTGTCAAAACGGGCCAGCCCGGCCCATTAGGCCCTTGCCCGCGCGGACCAGGGCCATAAAGCCCGCAGGGCCAAAAAGCTCACATATTAAATAGCCCGCACGAATCAAAAAATTATATAGCCCCACGGGTTAGGGTCAGCCCGCTAGCCAAAAATCAATTTGTATACATATACAATATGAATATCTATAAGGCTCTGTACAACAGTGATTATAAAGGCTCCCTTTAGAAAAAAAATATTATAAACCCACAAACATAATATAAATGTAGTAAATGCCATAAATTGCTAAGAGACAAATCAAAGTTTATATGATAATAATAAACCCCAAAAGTATTAATCGAAAAAATTATATAACTTTTGTAGAATTATATAACTTTTGAAGTTGCTGGTGACATTCAAGTTCAGATTCATCAGTCATGAGAGGTTCATTGCTATTTTGGCCCAATTGCCTAAGTATAGCCTGCAAAACAATAACATAACGATAGAGGACAAAAATCAAAACAAATGAAACCACTAGAAACATAGTAAAGTGAACAGTTTACAAACAGAATCTACACTTTTTGTTTAAGGATCCCACTCCATAAGTTGAAATCATACCTGAAGTAAAAATGAGCCTTATAATAAAATCTCACTTAAAAAATCCAAGGAAAATTGATATTATTATCTCATGCTACAAAACCAATTTTAACCTAAATAGTAAATACTAGCATAGAAATTACCATCCAATTGGTAAGCATCCAACATGAAAAATACCCATCTGAGAAAGAAGAAGAAAATATGAAATCAGTAGAATAGGAACCATCACCTGTTGTTGCTTGGCAACTTGCTCCCTCAATTTGCTAGCTTGCTTCCTTATAGCATCCATTATTCTCCTTGTTACAACAGAAAAAACAGTAACTACCTTGAAGTCCAAACAGGAAATTATGAGAAAAACTTGTTTTCAATTCATTGAAACAGAAAAACCAAGGCATGGATGAAAAAAGATGATTGATTACCTGTTCCAATAATTAGATGTGCAATAACTAGATGATTGTTCTCTGTTCCAATAAAATGTCTTTCCAGATAGAGATTTCCAATAATTAGAAGACAACACCACACAACATAACAAACACAATACAAATGTTATAATAATGGAATGAATGGGTTATAGGTGTAAAAGTGAAAATGCACGCCTCAAGTTTCAAGCTGAAGCCCTAAACTCACAAAATTTCTATGCGCGAGATAATAGAAAGAGAAGAACATAAATTAGAATCGATAGAAATTGGAAGAAGCGGTAACAATGAAAAAGAGAGAGAAGATACTTGAGGGTTAATATAGAACAGTTATTGTTGTGTCCTCAGAACCGCTGAATATCAAGTTCCCAATCGTTGCTAAACAAAGAACAGCAAAACGGTGACCCTGCAAGAACCATCCATGGTTGAATCTACAGCACAATCTTTCCTTCTCCCAGAGAACTGTGAAAGTGTGTAGTTGCCACAGACAGCCTGAAGAATTGTTTTATTAGCTTAAAAGATGAGTTATACATGAAAGTTTAAAAAATGTTATTTGGTTAGATAAAATTTTACCAGAAAAATTAAGTTAAATAACTGAATATGTGTGTGTTTGGTTGAAAATAAAATATTGATGAAAAAATTTAATAAAATTACAAAAAAAACCCCAAAGAGAATGGAGGAAATCCTCCCTACAGAAACAGAAAATAATGGAGGAAACCTCCTTACAAGACCAGAAAAATTAATCTAGAACATGAACAGGAAGATCAGAAAAATATGAGCCCAAGGTGACCTTCCTCTTAATACTCAATTTCCATGCCTCCTCCCTTCTCTCTCCCCCTTATTCTCCCATCTTATCCCTTACTCCTTGCATGTATACAGAGTCTTCTTATCCCCTCTCCACTCTAAGGCTTGCAACTGTCTGATGTGTTGCTCTCATTTTCCACCATCAGATCAATATGCTATATTTTTTAGTGCAGATCCACTTGAAATAAGAGATTGTCAATTAGTTTATCTCAATCAATTAGTTACTCTCGTTCTTAGAGGCTGATGTTCGTCTTCAAGGTGGTGTTCCCCATCAATCGGTTTTTCTCACGTGTGTGGTTAGGAAGGAGGGGTTATGTGTCGTGCCTTTCCAACCCTTTTTCACTTATCCGATTTTTCAACCCAATATCACCTGTTCAGAGGGCTTCTTCAACAATGCCAAAATCGGTTTTTTACACTGCTTCCTGGAATGCAAGGCAAACGGGATTGATGGCCAAATTTACCAAAAATCTTCAACCAAACATGGTTTAATCAAATTCCCACATGCACTTAGCCAGCAAAATTTTAACTTCTCCCCAACCAAACACTACCTAAGAGTATTTATTACAAGGACAACAATAGAGTAATATAATGACACCTAGTACAAGAACAACTACAATACAATGACACCTATTTTTAGAAGCTGTGCGTAGGAAAGTTTGATATTTTAACATTCCCCCTCAAACTTAACTTTGCCAATCATTTCTTTGAATTTGTTGAATACATCTGTCTTCAATGGTTTTGTAAATATTTCTGCTAGTTGCTCTTCTGTTTTGCAGTAGACCAACTCAACAACTTTGTTCTTGATCTGCTCCCGTATAAAATGATACTTTATGTCAATGTGCTTGCTTCGGCTGTGGGAGACTGGATTTTTTGCAAGTGATATAGCTGACTTATTGTCCACATATATAGTGATTGGACCTTCATGCTCCTGATGCAATTCACTTAAAATATTCTTCAACCAAATTGCTTGACATGTGCATGCTGCTGCGGCCATGTATTCTGTTTCACATGATGAAAGAGCGACTGTCTGTTGCTTCTTTGATGACCATGAAAATATTTTATAGCCAATATGAATTGTATATCCTGATGTGCTTTTTCAATCATCTACATCTCCACCATAATCACTATCTGAATAGCCACTTAATTTTGACTCTTCAGAATGTGTATAAAATAAGCCATGATAAACAGTTCCTTTGATGTATCTCAAAATTCTTTTTACTGCACTGAAGTGATCTTGCTTTGGTTGCTCCATATATCTACTAACTTGCTCTGGTTAATCCAATGTTTTGGTTGCTCCTTTGATGCATCTTCTAGCATGAATTTGTTAATGGGACTTAAAAATTTAACAACATCTATTGAATTTTGATTGTGTTAATCCTCAATTAGAAACAAAATGAGGACAGATGAATCTTTTCGTCCCAGTGGTTAAAAGTTTGTTGAGCAAATTTTCCATGTGATGTAGGAATTTAAATTGAATTTCATTAAGAGCCACACAATAGAAATTGCTTTCATATTTGAAAAGCATACACATATGTCACGAATAGGGGTGAAAGTGGGCAAGGTTAGACCGAGCTTTGTCTTGGAAGGAGAGCCTAAGTCTGTCAAAAAAATTTAATTTGACCTGACCCAATAGCATGGTACGAGTCTAACTGTTAGCCTGACTTGACCCATTTATAAAAAAACAAATGACCTTACCTGATCTGTTAGCCTATTAATTTTTAACTTCTGAGCAAAACATGCTTCAACTTCACTAAATACTCAAATTATATTGTTAAAACAAAAATCGCAATTTCAACGTTGAAACAAAACCATGAATCACAACAACAACTTATCAGTCTAGGGGTGTAAATGGGCTAGGTCGGCCTACAGAGGCCTATGGCCTCGCCTATATTAGGTCAGGCTTGACCTATTACAAATAGTAAAATAGAACAGGCCTTGACTTTTAAAAAAATATAAGTAGAAAACAGGTCATAGGTTTTTTTTGTACATGTCGGACCTATAAGCCTACATGCCGGCTTATATCATATTATTTCTTTTAAATGAAATAAATATAATTAATATTTTAATAATTTTGAATAATAAAGTAATATTATTTTAGTTATTCTTTTAAAAATAGACTTAAATAGGCTAACAGGCCTAAGCTAAGGCTTTTATTTTTTAAATATAGGTCATGTCAGACTTGTAATTTGGGGCCTACACAGGCTAATAGGCTAGGCCAGACCCAATGTTTTTTTTACACAGGCCTGGCCTATTTAAGCCAAAGTCTAGCCTAGCCTATTTACACCTCACATTTTGCATTTAAGTCACTTTCAGAAGAAAAATGTTCAAACTAAATAACACATATTTTATCAGATTCAACAAATCAATTCATACTATGTAAATTAAAATAAATGCATGAATCCAACAAATGCATCATGATGCTTGTAGTAGCCAAAAACTTCACATCATATTCTCTCCCCTGCAAACACAATTCCAAGATTACGTAAGTTGGCAAACAATTTGTAAATGTAGAAAACAAAAAAAAAGATTAAAGAATAGAGAAAAAAAAGATTAAAAACAAAAATTATTTTTATACCTTTTGTATTTTCTTCAAGTCATACTTATTACGTAGTCAATCTCAACCATATATTAAAGCTTGGATGGTATCTTATAGAAATATAAGCATCAATAATTGTTCCTCCAGCACTAAATGTTGATTCTGATTCTACTGTAAAGATTGATACATATCTTATATCACTCCCAAAGGTAATATTGGTGGAGAATCGAACATAAGTCCTTCCACCACCTAAGCCACCTAAGCAAGATCAAACACCAATAGATTTTCCTATGTATCGTTCCTCCATCAACAAATGCGAGACATGCTACATTTTTCTTTGCACCATAGAATTGGCTCCATGAATAGTCCATTGTATGGTTTGGTATTCGGAGCATGTGATGCTGATAAAGGGGTGTGGTTTGGTATTCGAAGCATGTGATGCTGATAAGCAGGAAACTGAGAAAAGGGCTATTAAGAGAAGGAAGAAATGGATGGCAGAAGATGAAGCCATCTTGAACATAAATATAATGAATGGTATTGCTACTTTGTATAGTCCAGAATGCAGAGTTTCCCTTTTATAGTAAAGCAGCAGGTCACACTGTAAATGTTAGTACAATATTTATCTCTTTTTTTAGAACATAGGAGGGGATTAGGCCCAAAAGAAAGACAAAAAAACTAGTTCACAGTGATCAACTGGGCATCAGATCCCAGTAAAGCAAAAAGTCCTTGAGGACAACTGGGAAGCGCAACGAAGTCCACATGAACGAGAGCAGCAACACCGGCCAGCCAATTGGCACACCTATTTCCATCCCTGTGGGTGTGTTGGAAGGAAACTTGCCACTGAAGATCACGTCATTGTTGAATACGATGCACAAGAGCCCTGTAGGGGGAGTTAGTAGGGTCATTCTCTATCGCCTGGATAGCTAGCAGAGAGTCACTTTCGATAATTAGGGCAGCAGTATCCACACTCAAAGCACATTGCATTCCTATGAGAATTGCCCATAACTCAGCGCACAAAGTGCTGCAAATTCCCACTTTGTCCGTGTAGCCAGTGATCCAGGTACCTTTGTGGTCCCGGAGGAGGCAACCACAGGAGGCCAGCTTCGTGGACATAGAGATAGCATCAACATTAAACTTCAGAACACTTTGAGGAGGAGGCTGCCAAGTTACAGGTTGGAGGCTACTAGTTCTGTTTTGGGCAGGAGAGAGAATAGTTCCAGAAAGCTTGATTTCGCTGATGTAGGAGGAAACTGCTATGATAGGGCTGGGAGGTCTGGAGAAGAGAGGATCATGGATTTCATTGCTCCTCCACGTCCATAGGAACCAGATAGAAACTAGGAAGATGTCACGCCACTCCCAGACCTGAGGATGAGTCCACCCGTTGTTTAGGTTTTTACGAACCCAGTCTTCATTGGGAAGAGTAATGAAATCGGCAAGGAGGTTACCAGCAAACCAAGCCACCCAGATGGGCATAGCTCTGTCACATCTCCTAAGAACATGGGAAATGTCTTCCGATTTATGAGGGCAGATATGGAAAGAAGAAGATCCACTCCATCTAGATGTATAAAATTTGGTGAGGATGCGCCCATGCAGAACTAACCAGGCAAGAGTTTTTATTCTATACGGCCCCTCCATTGCCAAATCTGTTTCCAGATGGGATCCGAATTAGCAGAGTCAGAATTCTTTATATACATATACGCTTTCTTAACCATTCTACCTTGGTTTGGACTGTGGTTCCAAACAAGCTGATCAGGGCCCCTTCCATCTGAGGGAGGAATAATAGCTCGAATGGTTTGAGCAACGCCAGGGGTGAGGCATCTGTGGATGAGCTCCATATTTCACTGACCAGTATTTACGTTAACCAAATCTTCAATAGTCGAGATTAGGTCAGTTGGGGAAAGGGTTATGGTAGAGTTCAAGAGGGGTATCTAGAGGAGTCCACAGGTCCTTCCGGAATAGAATGTCTTTGCCATTGCCCACGTCCCACTTAACACACTTTAAAACGTCCCTCCAAATTTTGTTGAGCCTTTTCCGTAGAATGGAATCGTAATTAAGCGCTTTGATTTGCCTTCTGGTGTCTAGATTCCTCCCATATTTTCCCAAGAGAACTTTCACCCATAGCTCATCTTTATTGTTCACGATTTTCCAGCAACTTTGTACATAAACGCTTCATTTTGCACCTGAAGGTCTTGAATTCCCAATCCCCCCACAGATTTGGGCATGCATAGGGACTCCCAAGAGAGTAAGCGCGCCTTCTTATTATTCACTGTGTCTCCCCAAATAAATTCACGTTGGATTTGTTCTATTTCCTTGCAGATCGAGATGGGAAGGAAGCTATGCTGCATCTGATAAGACAGAATGGCACTTATGACAACTTTTGCTAAAGTTGTACGCCCAGGAAATGAGAGAATGTGCCTTTTCCAGTTAAAGAGTTGTGTTTTAACTCGTTCGATAATGCTGGAGAAGTTCCTTCTTTTGCCTTTACCATGATTCATCATAGCCCCTAGGTATTTTCCAAGCGAATTTGCCTCCTTGAATCCGCTGGCCTGGGAGATACTTGCTCGAAGGGTGTGATCAGTATTCTTGGAGAAATAGATTACAATTTTCTCAATACTAATGAGCTCAATATTTATCTCTTTGACCATATTGTTTTTAGTCTTTTGTCAAAAAGGATGGCTAAATGGTGCAGACTTCAAGAAGAAGAACAAAACAAAGTAATGAAGGTAAATTTCGCTTAGTCTAAATGGATTTCAAGTAAGAAATTAGTTACATTAATACTATGGCTCACATGATGAAGGTGTATTACTTATGTGATTGTTGATTTATTCTAAAGAAATATAACTCGTTTGCTATTTTCAAATAAAGTCAAAGTCAAACTGCAACACAGTTTCGTTGTATAA